TCCTCGGCCCAGCCTCGTGGATCGAATCTTATTCCCTAATAGTCCTGAAGAATGTGAGCCCCTCCCTCACTCAACATTTCCCTCTCTCCAGGACTCTGATGAACAAGACCCTCAGGAGGTGACATACGCACAGTTGGATCACTGCGTTCTCACACAGGGAAAAATCACTCACCCTTCTCAGAGGCCCAAGACACCCCCAACAGATACCAGCGTGTACACGGAACTTCCAAATGCGGAGCCCAGATCGAAAGTTGTCTTCTATCCATGAGCACCACCGTCAGACTTTGAAGGGGTCTTCTAGGGAGACAATAGCCCTCTCTCAAAACCGGCTTCACAGCTCCAATGTGCCAGCAGCAGGAATCTGAAGGCGCGACTCTGCATCTTAGGACATCGCTCTTCCTCACACCACGAATCTGAACGTGCCTCTCTCTTGCTTACAAATGTCTAAGGTCCCCATTGCCTGCTGCAGAGAAAACACACTCCTTTGCTTAGCCCACCATTCTCCACTTCACTTGACCCCTGCCCACCTCTCCAACCTACCTGGCTTACTTCCTAGTCCTACTGGAGGCTGCAGTCACACTGAGGAACTCACAATTCCAAACATACAAGAGGCTCCTTCTTAACACGGCACTTAGACATGTGCTGTTCCACCTTCCCTCATGCTGTTCCACCTCTCCTCAGACTCTCTTTCAGCTTTCTGTCAGCAGTGAAACTTATAAATTTTTTTATCATTTAAATGTAGCTCTCTCCTCTTCAAATAAACACATCTGCCCTCATCCTTTAGGTAATGTGACTCCTTATTCGCCGAAAGTTTCTGGTGTTATCATTACTATGTCCATATAGCCCCATGTGTTCTCCACTGGGTTCTCACCCCTGGACTCTGAGCTTCTGGAAGCAGGTGGAGCCTGATTTCTGTCTGGAATTCCAATTTCCATCCAACGATGCAGCGCATAGGAGGTTGCAAGGATCATGAATCAGATGAACAGGTGATATTCTTACTCTCTGCAGACCTGGAAAGCTGGCAGAGCCATTCCAACATGAAACATCTGTAGAGTCATAGGCCTTGCTAGTCTCATCTCCACGGGGACACATGTCCACACATCATCTTCATACTATAAATACACAGTCGCTCCTCCAGACCTGTGGGGTTTACAGGTGTTTATTGAGCCAACTATAAATCAAAAATATTCAGAGAAAAAATCCACAAAATTTCAAAAAGCAAAACTATGTTGAATGGACACAAACGAAATGGTATGTAGGCTGTGTCAGGAATTATAAGTAATCTAGAGATGATTTCATGTATACAGGAGGATGAACATGGGTTATATGCAAACGCTGTACCATTTTATGTAAGAGGCTTGAGCACCTGCAGATTGTGGTATCTGAGCGGAGATCCTGAAACCAATCACCCACGAATAGTGAAGGACGATTGTATCTCACTTTTATTTCTCAATTTTAAATATAAATCATAAAAAATTGACAACAACAAGATAAAAAACAAGAAGTGTTTTATAGTGTGAGACTACGTGTAGATTTATTTTTTTCTATGCATAACCCTTGGGCCCATGTTATCTATGGAGAAGACATTCTATTCCTCCTTAAACCACACGGCAGCCTTGTGAGCTCTAACGGGACTGTGTGTGCACGGATGTATTTTAGACACTGTTTTCCGATAAGGGGTTCTCTGTGTTCACTCTCTTGAGGATGCTGCACATTACGTAGGCTTATACAAACCCTTAAAATTTGGTAGCTGGAGTCCTCTAGTTTCTTATTATAGGCTATTTGCTACGCTTTTTGTATATTTCTTCAGGCAGAGTCTCGCTCTGTCACCCAGGCTGGACTGCAGTGGCAGAATCTCGGCTCACTGCAACTTCCGCCTCCCAGGTTCAAGCGATTCTCCTGCCTCAGCCTCTTAAGTAGCTGGCATTACAGGTGCCCACCACCAGGCATGGCTAATTTTTGTATGTTTAGCAGAGACATGGTTTCTCTAAGTTGGCCAGGGAGGTCTCGAACTCCCGACCTCCGTTGATCCGCCCACCTCGGCTTCCCAAAGTGCTGGGGGACACTTGATTTTTTATAGCATGATGTTACTGGATATTTCCATACAATTTAAAATGAGGGAGGCAGAGAGACAGACAGAGAGCGAACCATGTGCTGGGACTCTGGACTCTCAGGTCATGAGACAAATTGTAGATAAAATGACAAAAATCCAGAATTGACATGTTGTAGGTTTTGCTGATAAAGAACAATTCTAAGATTGTAAAAAATTGCATAATCCTTCCCTGGGTATTTAAATCATTTAAACTGGTTCTGCTGTCATACTAGAAATACAAGCATGAAACATCCTAATGGTTTATTCGTCACAATTGCTCTGACAACGTTCATAATACCTATTAGACATTTCGCATATTATACACGGAGAAGAGTTTGAAACACAGATAAAAACAACAAAAATACATGAAAAATCTTTCTCGTCAGCAAAGATTTTAGTCACCTCATGTCCGGGAGGTTGGATCTGAGACGTGTTTTGAGCTGGTCATAGTGAAGGACACAAGGTGTCAGTTCTAGTGAGAACAATTTCCAGGAAGCCATTTTCCACTCTAGAGTGAGCACCCGCTGCACCTCATGCAAGGTAGGAAGAGCCTGCGTACGTCACCCTCCCATGATGTGGTCAGCACGTCAACTGCATGGGCAGGGCGCCAGATAACATCCTGTGCGCTGCTGAGCTGAGCTGGGGCGCGGCCGCCTGTCTGCACCGGCAGCACCATGTCGCTCATGGTCGTCAGCCTGGCGTGTTTTGGTGAGTCCCGGAAGGGAATCGACGGAGGAAGCGCTGGGGTGGAGATCTGGGCCTGGAGGGGAGATCTGGACCTGGAGGTTGAGTTAGGGGCCTGGAGTGGAGATATGATCCTGGAGTGGAGATCTGGGCCTGGAGTGGAGTTATGGGCCTGGGGTGGAGATATGATCCTGGAGTGGAGATCTGGGCCTGGGGTGGAGATATGATCCTGGAGTGGAGATCTGGGCCTGGAGTGGAGATATGATCCTGGAGTGGAGATCTGGGCCTGGAGTGGAGATATGATCCTGGAGTGGAGATCTGGGCCTGGAATGGAGATATGGGCTTGGAGTGGAGATCTGGGCCTGGATTGGAGATATGGGCCTGGGGTGGAGATATGGGCCTGGGTGGAGATATGGGCCTGGGTGGAGATATGGGCCTGGGGTGGAGATATGGGCCTGGGATAGAGACATGGGCCTGGCATGGAGGGATGGGCCTGGAATGGAGATATGGGCCTGGGTGGAGATATGGGCCTGGGGTGGAGATCTGGGCCTGGACTGGAGATATGATCCTGGAGTGGAGATCTGGGCCTGGAATGGAGATATGGGCCTGGAGTGGAGATCTGGGCCTGGGTGGAGATATGGGCCTGGGATAGAGATATTGGCCTGGAGTGGAGATTTGGGCCTGGAGTAGAGATATGAACCTGGAATAGAGATAGGATCCTGGAGTAGAGACATGAGCGTGGAGTGGAGATACGGGCCTGCAGTGGAGATACGGGTCTAGAGTGGAGATATGGGCCTGCAGTGGAGATCTGGGCCTGGGCTGGAGATCTGGGCCTGGAGTGGAGATAGGAGCCTGAAGTGGAGATATGTTCCTGGAGTAGAGATATGGGTCTAGAGTGGAGATAGGAGCCTGGAAGGGAGATATGGGTTTGGAGTGGAGATATGGACCTGGAGTGGAGATATGAGCCTGGAGGGGAGATATGAGCCTGGAGGGGAGATATGGCTTTGGAGTGGAGATATGAGCCTGGAGTGCAGATATGAGCCTGGAGAGGAGATATGGGCCTGGGGTGGAGATATGGGCCTGGAGTGGAGATATGGGCCCGGAGTGGGGATATGGACCTGGAATAGAGATAGGATCCTGTAGTAGAGACATGGGCGTGGAGTGGAGATACGGGCCTGCAGTGGAGATACGGGTCTAGAGTGGAGATCTGGGCCTGAGCTGGAGATCTGGGCCTGGAGTGGAGATAGGAGCCTGGAGTGGAAATATGTTCCTGGAGTAGAGATATGGGTCTGGAGTGGAGATATGGACCTGGAGTGGAGATATGGACCTGGAGGGGAGATATGAACCTGGAGGGGAGATATGGGTTTGGAGTGGAGATATGAGCCTGGAGTGCAGATATGAGCCTGGAAAGGAGATATGGGCCTGGGGTGGAGATAGGCGCCTGGAGGGGAGATATGAGCCTGGAGGGGAGATATGGGTTTGGAGCAGAAATATGGGCCTGGAGAGGATTCCGGGCCTGGAGTGGAGATATGAGACTGGAGTGGAGATATGAGACTGGAGTGGAGATATGGGCCTGGAATTGAGACATGGGCCTGGAATTGTGATATGAGCCTGGAGTGGAGATATGGGCCTGGATTGGAGATATGGGCCTGGGGTGGAGATAGGATCCTGCAGTGGAGATATGAGCATGGAGAGGAGCCTGGAGTGGAGATATGGGCCTGGGGTGGAGATAGGAGCCTGGAAAGGAGATATGAGCCTGGAGTGGAGATATGGGCCTGGATTGGAGATATGGGCCTGGGGTGGAGATAGGATCCTGCAGTGGAGATATGAGCATGGAGAGGAGATATGAGCCTGGAGTGGAGATATGGGCCTGGGGTGGAGATAGGAGCCTGGAAAGGAGATATGGGTCTGGAGTGGAGATATGGGCCTGGAGTGGAGATATGAGCCTGGCATGGAGGGATGGGCCTGGAGTGGAGATATGAGCCTGGAGTGGAGATATGGGCCTGGGGTGGAGATAGGAGCCTGGAAAGGAGATATGGGTCTGGAGTGGAGATATGGGCCTGGAGTGGAGATATGAGCCTGGCATGGAGGGATGGGCCTGGAGTGGAGATATGAGCCTGGAGTGGAGATACAGGTCTGGAGTGGAGATATGGGCCTGGAGTGGAGATATGGGCCTGGGGTGGAGATAGGAGCCTGGAAGGGAGATATGGGTTTGGAGTGGAGATATGGGCCTGGAGTGCAGATATGGACCTGGCGGGGAGATATGGGTTTGGAGCGGAGATATGGGCCTGGAGTAGAGATATCAGCATGGAGTGGAGATATGGGCCTGTTGTCTTGATCTAGGCCTGGGGTGCAGATCTGGATCAGGAGGCCGGGTCTCTGCACAGCTGACATCCCTGCTGCGGGGGCAGGTAGGCAGCCAGGCTGAGTTTACCTTCAGCCCAGCAAGGGCCTGGCTGCCCAGACGCACAGCCCCGTGGGAGCAGCAGGGGAGGCCCTGGTTTGCCTGCAGATGGATCATCCATCATGATCTTTCTTTCCAGGGTTCTTCTTGGTCCAGAGGGCCTGTCCGTACACGGGTGAGTCCTTCCCCAAACCTTAGGGTGTCATCTCCCCACCTAAGAGGATTTTCCTGAAACAGGAGGGAAGTCCTGTCAGTCTCTCATAAACTAAGAAGGGGGGACCCTGAGGTGCTCGGCTCACACTTCTGACCTCGTCCTCTCTGGCCTTCTTACCCTTGGCTGAGTCAAGCTCTGTGAAGACCGGGGTGAGCTCGGGGTGCTCCAAGCTGAGGTGTGCAGGGAGGAAGTGGTGTCAGCGGCTGAGGAAGGGAGGGAAGCAGTGCTAGGAACAGCAGGTCCTCTGA